GACAGCCAGCGCCCTGAATTCTACCCCTGAGGTTCTTCTAATTACCAGGACCCTGCGAGGATGGTCTCCCTCTGTCCGTATTCGTTTGGGATTTCTTGGACCATCTGACAGAGCAGCCTGGCAGTTGTGAAACGGACATGGAGCAGTTTGCAGAGGCCCTGAGTGGCCGGGTCACCACAGACGAGGCTTTGCAAGAACTTGTGGACCTCATCTATCAACAGGCCACGTCCGTGCCCAAGCTCCGCCGCGGGGGAGCTCGCCTGTGTGGTTACCTGTCCCGTCACCTGACCATTCCCTCACAGAGGGGCAGCTTCCGCCAGGTGCTCCTTCAAAGATTACAGACTGAATATGACCTTAGTGATCAAGCTGTCAAGAGGGATGAAGCAGCTCGGAAACGATTCCACAAGTTTGTGCTCTTTGTGGGAGAATTTTTTCTTCCGCTGGAGATCGAAGGGGCAAATACAGAGGCTCGAGTAGCTGCTCTCCAGGGGTTGTTGGATGACCTGCTTTCTCACCCCGTGGACGATAACCTAATTTGTGCAGTAAAATTACTGAAGTTGACAGGGCCCGCCTTGGAAGATGCCTGGAAGAGACAAGGAAAGATGGACATGGTTGAAGTTATGGAGACAATTGGAGACATCATCCTGGATGCCCCCTGCAGTGAAGGCGTGAAGCAGATGCTCTCGAAGCTTGCAGAGCTCCGGTCAAGTAACTGGGGGAGAGTCCATGCCACATCAGCATCCGAGAGAAGCAGCACCTGAGAATGATCCCAAATCTTTTGTGACTGAACCGCCATTGGGTCCAGCGGATGGTGTTCCTCTCACTGCAGCTGATCCCGATGACCAGGATTCATTTCAGGAGTGACGTGAGGGCGGGAGAGGAGGGGGGAGGGGGAAGGACATATGTGATACTTTCAACAATAAAGATTCATTAAAAACAAAAAAGAGTGAGTTGAAGAGAAGACTCTTTTTCCAGATTGTGAAGAAAACGGAGCAGGTGTGTCGGGGTGGTGACGGTACTTGGATGATATTGAGGATGAGGTGGACCCAGGAGGTTATGCACAGTTTTGTTTGGAACCAGAGGGTCAGCAGAAGCCGTCGGGTTAAACGTCCCCGGGTCAGAGTGAGGAAGCCGTGCAGGTGATGGTGGGAACCGGACGCAGGAAACCTGCCACTCGTACCCGATGGAGGACGCAGAGGGATGTCACTAATGTCCGCACCTCCAGTCGGGTGTGACACGCTCTGCCACAATGAACACTATTCCCTAGAACTTAAAAAATAAAATTAAAATTATATGGTGAAATAAACTGCTGCCCGGCCGGTTTGGCTCAGTGGACAGAGGGACTAGAACTTAAAAAATAAAATTAAAATTATATGGTGAAATAAACTGCTGCCCGGCCGGTTTGGCTCAGTGGACAGAGGGTCGGCCTGTGGACGAAGGTCCCAGGTTCCATTCCAAGGGCACGTCCCTCTACCAATCGATGTGTTTGTCTCTCTGTCTCCGAGTAAAGTCACATGTAGTGGGCTTCTCTTTTACATCTCTCTGGGGTCTTTGTCCCCCAAATATGGATTATTCTTCTGGTCCTTTTCCGAAGGCTTTCCAAGAAGGCCCCAGGTGTTTGGACTCTCCGGGCCATGTCTGATCGTCTGGCCTGGCACCAGTGTTAATAACCCCTCCCTCCCCCGCTCTGGGGAAGGTGCTGTTCACAGTTTTATGGCCTCTGTATTTAGATAACA